TATTTTTATTCGACTTCCATTTTTATTCAATTTTCTTTTCTATTCAATTTCCTTTTTTTATTTCATTTCCAAATAGATCGTTAATGTATTGTGGTTTCTTTAATAAACTTCCAATTTTAATTTTATGCAACTTCCGAGTATATTTTTAATCAACTTTCATTTTTCTTCAATTTCTTTTTCAATTGAATTTCCTTTTTTTATTTAATTTCCAAATAGATCGTTAAGGTATAGTTGTTTCTTGAATGAACTTTCATTTTTAAATTTATGCAACTTCTATTTTTATTTTTATTCAATTTTCTTTTCTATTCAATATCTTTTTTTATTTAATTTCCAAATAGATCGTTAATGCATAGTGGTTTCTTCAATGAACTTCCATTTTTAATTTTATGCAACTTTCATTTTTATTTTTATTCAATTTTCTTTTCGATTTAATTTCCTTTTTTTATTTCATTTCCAAATCGATCGTTAAGGTGTAGTGGTTTCTTGAATGAGCTTCCATGTTTAATTTTATACAACTTCTATTTTTTCTTTTATTCAATATCTATTTTTATTCAATTTCCTTTTCTATTCAATTTCCTTTTTTTATTTAATTTCCAAACGGATCGTTAATGTATAGTGGTTTCTTGACTGAACTTCCATTTTTAATTATATGCAACTTCCATTTTTATTTATATTCAACTTCCATTTTTATTCAATTTCCTTTTCTATTTAATTTTCTTTTTTTATTTCGTTTCCAAACAGATTGTTAAGGTATAGTGGTTTCTTAAATGAACTTCCATTTTTAATTTTATGCAACTTTTATTTTTATTTTTATCCTACATCCATTTTTATTCAATTTACTTTTCTATGGAATTTCCTTTTTTATTTAATTTCGAAGTAGATCGTAGAGGTATAGTGGTTTTTTGAATGAACTTACACTTTTAATTTTATGTAACTTCCGTTTTTATTTTTACTCTACTTCCATTTTTCTTCAATTTCCTTTTCTATTCAATTTTCTTTTTTTTATTTAATTTCCCAATACGTCGTTAATGTATTGAATGAACTTCGATTTTTAATTTTATGCAACTTCCATTTTTATTTTTATTTAACGTCCATTTTAATTCAATTTCCTTTTCTCTTCAATTTCCTTTTTTTTATTTAATTTTCAAATAGATCGTTAATGTATAGTGGTTTCTTCAATGAACTTCCATTTTTAATTTTGTGCAACTTCCATTTTTATTTTTATTCAACGTCCATTTTTATTTAATTTCCTTTTCTATTCAATTTCCTTTTTTTATTTCATTTCCAAATAAATCGTTAATGTATAGTGATTTCTTCAATGAACTTCCACTTTTAATTTTATGCAACTTCGATTTTTACGTTTATTCAAGTTCCATTTTTATTTAATTGCCTTTTTTTATTTAATTTCGAAATAGCTCGTTATCGTATAGTGGTTTCATGAATGAACTCCCAATTTTAATTTTATGTAACTTACTTTTTTATTTTTATTCCACTTCCATTTTTATTCAATTTCCTTTTTTATTCAATTTCTTTTTTTTATTTAATTTTCAAATAGATCGTTAAGGTATAGTGGTTTCTTGAATGAACTTCCATGTTTAATTTTATGCAGTTTCCATTTCTATTTTTATTCAACTTCTATTTTTATTCAATTTCCATCTCCATTCAATTTCTTTTTTTTTTTTTAATTTCCAAATAGATCGTTAAGGTATAGTAGTTTCTTGAATGAACTTCCATTTTTATTTTTATTCCACTTACATTTTTTTTTTCAATTTCCTTTTCTATTCAATTTCCTTTTTAATTTAATTTCCAAATAGATCGTTAAGGTATAGTGGTTTCTTGAATGAACTTCCATTTTTAATTTTATGCAACTTCCATTTTTATTTTTATTTAACTTCCTTTTTTATTCAATTTCCTTTTCTATTCAATTTCCTTTTTTTATTTCATTTCCAAATAGATCGTTAATGTATAATAGTTTCTTTAATAAACTTTCACTTTTAATTTTATGCAACTTCCATTTATATTTATAATCACCTTTCATTTTTATTCAATTTCTTTTTCAATGGAATTTCCTTTTTTATTTAATTTCCAAATAGATCATTAATGTATAGTGGTTTCTTCAATGAACTTCCATTTTTAATTTTATGCAACTTTCATTTTTATTTTTTTTCAATTTTCTTTTCGATTTAATTTCCTTTTTTTTTATTTTATTTCCAAATCGATCGTTAAGGTATAGTGGTTTCTTAAACGAACTTCCATGTTTAATTTTATACAACTTCTATTTTTACTTTTATTCAACTTCCATTTTTATTCAATTTCCCTTTCTATTCAATTTCCTTTTTTTATTTAATTTCCAGATGGATCGTTAATGTATAGTGGTTTCTTGATTGAACTTCCATTTTTAATTATATGCAACTTCCATTTTTATTTTTATTCAACTTCTATTTTTATTCAATTTCCTTTTCTATTTAATTTTCTTTTTTTATTTCGTTTCCAAATAGATCGTTAAGGTATTGTGGTTTCTTAAATGAACTTCCATTTTTAATTTTATGCAACTTCTATTTTTCTTTTTATCTTACATCCATTTTTATTCAATTTACTTTTCTATGGAATTTCCTTTTTTTATTTAATTTCCAAGTAGATCGTAGAGGTATAGGGGTTTCTTGAATGAACTTACATTTTTAATTTTACGTAACTTCCATTTTTATTTTTACTCTACTTCCATTTTTCTTCAATTTCCTTTTCTATTCAATTCTCTTTTTTATTTAATTTCCCAATACGTCGTTAATGTATTGAATGAACTTCCATTTTTCATTTTATGCAACTTACATTTTTATTTTTATCAACGTCTATTTTTATTCAATTTCTTTTTCTATTCAATTTCCTTTTTTTATTTAATTTCCAAATAGATCGTTAATGAATAGTGGTTTCTTCAATGAACTTCCATTTTTAATTTTATACAACTTCCATTTTTATTTTTATTCAACGTCCATTTTTATTCCATTTCCTTTTCTATTCAATTTCCTTTTTTAATTTATTTTCCAAATAAATCGTT